TCTTCGGGAAAATATTGCTGTTAAGGATGCCAAAGAGACATCTTCGGAGCCTAGGAAAAAAGTGTGAGCGAAATAAAACACGAAGTGTACGCAAATAAGCGCGTCGTTATCAGTAGCTATATTATGTACTCGTGTCGTTATTTCCCTGGCCGATCGTTTGCATGGTAATATTACACAGCCAAATTACAGACACGTGTTTATATCGTAGAGCGTGCCCGTATATCTTTTCAATCTTGCCCGACTATCTACATTTTCGCGAACTCAAAAATCCTTTCGCTGAACGTGACCTTCGTCACTCACTCGTATCAATAGCGATAAAATTCTTGAGTCACAACATTGCCAATTGGCTGCTTTATCGAACAGCGCGTTGCACAATGAGATAACAATACGAATCTCTACGTCTATATCGCAGAATTGTTCTTCTCTCTTTAACATCAAGTATTCGCACTGATGTACTTTAAATATCGCCAGTTTCACAAAAGTCTGTTTTGTTAGAAACAGACGACGCACAGATAAACGTATTCGTCCGTGTATTTTAAGTGTATAGATATAAAAATAATTTACAAATTTGTTTGTGTATCAGTGTTTGTTCGTTTCTTTCTTGACAAGTGGAAATAAATGCCCGAATAATTATAATTGGGAAAATATCACAAACTGTTATGAGTTTATTTTTCGTTTATTTTAATAATTTAGATACTCAACACGTCTATTAGAATTTCTAATCGTTCATTAACATTTTTAATTTCTAATTGAAAGTAAAAATTGCAACTAATTGCAACTATGCGACGTACGAATTTACATTTATTTTTTCAGCAAACTTTTCGGACTCGGACTCATGTCGTTATACGTATAATTGTACACATATCGATGTTTGTTACGAATTTCGTCTCAATTTATGTAAATGTGCGGCAAACGTGTACGGCGCCGTATTTTTTTAATATAGACGGGCGGACAAGGGGGAGGCCTCTTTAACTATTGAGGACGAAAAGAGGAGTTTTCGACGCGTGGAAGGAACGTCATACCTGCCGCATCGATCGCGTATTACGCAATTTAGGGCACAGTAGGTACCATGTATTACACATTCAGGACACGGTAATGGCATTGAAGTAATAATCGCCACCCTCGCGTCAGCCTCGGGAGACACGCATCGCTCGACTGTCGATCGTTTCTCACGAATATAGCGTGTCGATAAAGAGACATAGGTCACCGGAAAAAAATATATATTTTCGCGTTTATCAAACGCTTATGATTTTACAACGGATACAATCGGATGATATGTTACAAGCGCGAGTTATTCCGCTGAACAGAGCCAAATCAAATTCGAGATGCAAGGTTTCGCCGATTCAGTTTCATCCAAGTTCTGGAGTTCTAGCAAAACTCCAAACGGGGCCGAATAAATCCCATCCCATTTCCCATGTTCCCGCGGAACTTTTTATTCAAACCGAGCGTTCGCGCGGTTGCCAAGGATTATTGAATGCAAATCGCCCGGTATAGGGCGGCCCCACGAACTTTTCTCTCAGACCGGGGGGGAGAAGGATTGTATTTCTCCGTTATATTTTCACCGCATTAGCGATGGATCGAAGCAATTAACGCTATCTGCCACGATACGGCATATGGTTGCGAGAGATAAAGGAATCGCTTTCCATTTCCCAGCTGACGTCATTGCCAATCGCGGTACGCTATGCGCGTACAAATACAAAGGTCCTTTTAATTGCTTCAATTACCTAGGCACCGAATGCTTCCGAACATCATAGGGAAAAAGCAAGATCTGCTTTCCGCTCCATATCGTACGATTCGCAATTATCTATTCTATCCTCTGTAACGATCGCGTTACGCTGAACGTATTGATATTCACGCACCGTTAGCCGATTATCTTTAATAAGCGGTCAACCCGGTTTTTTCTTTAACAGATCGACGTGTCTCCAATTTTCCTCACCGTTTGTCAACTGTACATAAATCGAAGATTCTGGTCGCAAGGTCGCGTTTATCCTTAATCTTAATCATTTGCAAGCAAAATGGGGAGACTCTCGACTTTCTTTTTATCTCACAAAGTCCATCCTCGATATTAGAATGTTTCACAACGCGTTGAATAAACCTCGTTGATTAAACTCCGCTGTTCCGTTTGGATTTATTTTGACCTATTTTTATTTTTAAAACGCGATAACAGTCCGTATTGATTGTCGCGCTTATAAATTCTATATTTCATTAAAACCGCGCAATACTGGCGCGCGTCCATTTCTAAACCGCATTCGCGCGCTAAATGCACTCGAAGGAACAAAGCGAGCGCCGTAGGGTCTAGTTTCCTCCTTTTTTTACCGGAAAGACGCCAAGGAGCTGGACGTGCGTCCCTCGCGTTGTCCCAGCGCGACGTTGAAACGCGCGAAAAATCGCCGAAGGTGAACGAACGTCGGGGGATCACCCGCGATGATCGTGCCAATCACCGATAATAAAATTGTCGACGCGAATCGTAGCGTTTCGCATATTTTGCATCACGCGTTCGCGCGCGGCTGGAAAAGCCATTTGAATTATAACGCACGATGAATCATCGTCCTCTCGGCGATTAGCGCGGTTGAGTTTTCGTTGCTGCCGCTACGTCTCTCCGCCGGAATGTTTCTCTCGCGCCGCCGCGCCGCCGCGATCCCTTCAGCATCTCGATGCCGCTCTCGAATTCCTCGCTGCTCTAAACTCCGTCTTTCGATAGTTCGTAATAGTGATCGCGAAAAAGGAAACCTTTAATGATATGTTTCTTCTACAATTTTTTGACTACAAAAAAATAGTTACTTTAAAAAATGTCAATATTTTTTTCTTAACAAAGGTATCGAAACTCTGATGGTTCTCGAGCTATAATTCGGCGAAAAAACGGCAGGCTTTTAATAATTTAATCTTCAGAATGAGCGAACAAATAACGTTATCATTTATCTTATTGTCAAATAGATTTTGAAGTGAATTCCGAAATTTGGCAAGTTGTGACAAACATTTTTTGGTGCTTTCGCCGAAGAGAACCTGGCGCCAGATTTTACAAACAAATATACGTGCCTTAACATTTTCTTTTTGAACACGCTGTATATCTTCTGTTGTTTAGTTACTGGAAAAAGTTCAGTTATCTTGTTATCTCGGAATAATATTTTTTATATGGGTATCTCTGCAAAATGAGTTATCTCGGGTTAGTAAGGTAAACGATTAACGGGACTTTTAAATTTTACAAGTCGTTTGTGTAAAATTTCACGGATTTCGTTGAAAAGTTCTGATAAATCTTCTTCCGTCCCTTTCTTTTCTTTTTATTCTTTTGTGCGTCTTACGTAGTTGCGTTTTAGGAGTCTCGAGTTAATTGGAAGGCACGCTACGCGAGAAAAGCTTGATGTTGCGCGAAGTTAAAGATTTGATATCGCGATGCAAAATCCGTCGACCCAGAGTTTATTTTTTGCTCGTAAAAACACACCCATCGGCTTAAATTAGTTCCCCTCTCTCTTGACACCGACGAACTTATTTGTGGGCCCGAAACAGTTTAATTCGGTCGCGTTTGTGGCTAATTCTACGCCGTACCGTAATAGTTCCGTATTTATAGTATATTGCGGCTAATATCGCGGGGCGATTAATTTGTTACCGTCCATCGTTATATCGTCTGTCGTTGCGCGTTTTTAGAATTGTATTGCAATAATAATGACAAATCTTCTTTTGGATAACGCATTAAGAATTGATATACGATTGACAGCTCGGCATTTTGAATAGCGGAGAATGAGCAACATCTATAAGAGCGTAAAATTGATGACTCGGAGTAGGTATATCTGATATTTAACTACTGTATTAAAAAAATAATGCGCGGACACAGCGTATTATGTAACAGTATATTGACGCAATAAGTAAACAGCATAAGCTAGCGTCGATCAAAGATATTACGTTCATAACAGCGAATGAAATTGAATGCAAAAAGCTGAGAGGAGTAAGACTGAACGACTCGAAAAAAGAAACTATATATATTTCAAAGCAATTTGCGAATTTCGAATTTAAATAATTCTATATAAGATAATTTCTTAAAAAAAAAAAAAAAAAACCCACTGGATGCCAAACATTTGATTTTTTTAAATCGCAATAATCGCTTTCGATCGCTTTGGTTACCTTTACGATTGTCGTTTCGCTAACGATAAGTCATCAGTAACGCTACCTGGAATTGTGATTTTTCCGCGACAGATTTTTTCGAGAACATGACAATGAGATAAATATTTCCTTTTTTTAAGAATACCTGCTGCAGAATGGACGTGCGTTTTTATCTTAACACTTGGTTAAAAAATTCCGTTATATTAGCTCGTCGCTCTTGCGGCGGTAGCTCAATTATCAATTGCAATTGAAAAACACCTTCTCCGTCCATAACAACGTCGCGCACGACATCGTTCCCTTTTATTCCGCTTGAAAGCCACAATCTCGCTGGTGGTAAACGATTCGACACTTTGTTTGCCGGTCCGTGGGCTCTCTGCAGCCAGCATGCACGCCAGCCGGCGCTTTGCGAACTTGTTCGTACGCACGGCATCGTAATCGATACATGAAAGTGACACGCGCGCGAGTTTCCATTGAATATTAGGTTTTAAAGCGCGGTCCAGTTCTGTCGCTCTCCGCGCGAACTGTCGTGCTTGTTTATCGCTGCTAGCCTTTTCCCGTAGCATCCCGAGGAGCAAACCCGAGCGACGGGATTCGTTTCAATTCAAAGCGAAACGTCCCTCTCCGCTGCTCGGTAACTTTTTCTATTTTTTTTTCCTTGTTTAAAATTCTCGCAAAAAATATTTTTTCTGAATTAAATACTCGGCGACTTGTATCTTCTGCAAGATACAAGTATAAATATTTACGTACTGATTTTCTAATATTCGCTTTAGCACTGGGAAAAAGAAAACTTCGATGTTTTTACATATAAATACTTTCACGATTTCTTTACACTGTTTAGTAATGTATCGTAAAATATAATTTTAATTTCCAAGGGAGTAAAAATGTTTTCTCTTTGTGTGTTGCAGTGTTCTTAATATTCCATCCATTGATTTCGAAGACTTGCCTCTTATTCAAGACGTGGTGCAACAATGGGTCGAAAGAAGATTCAGATTTCACGTATCACGGACGAACGGAATCGTCAGGTAATTATAAGTACCTATTCCGGTCAAACAAGGCAGACGACGTTCCTTTATGTAGCGATTTGGCGCTAATTGCAATGGTACATTTTTTCGGGAGTTGTAATAACCAAGAAAATTAAAGCGTACGCACGGCAGAGATCCGTTTCCGCCTTACATTCTTGCAAAAAAATAACGAAAGGATTTACAAGTCGATATTTTAAATAGACGTTTTAATTCTATTTTTTGCCTCTCTATGTAAAATATAGAATGATGCATAATTAATGTAATCGTTTCTCGGGTAAACACGGCTCTAGAGATACATTTTTTTTCCTTAAAATAAATCTACGCTCGCGAGATGAGAAGGAGTAAGGAGAAAGAAACGTAAGAACGCGTATAAAAAGATCGGACCTGCTAATTATTATTGATGCGATCTTACGTAACGTTACTGATCGGGTAATTAACAATTCGACGAATTAATATTTGCGTCGGGTGTGCCTGCAACTTTTTAGCAGTCTTAATGGCTCGAGAAACCCCGCTGACGTTCACCTTCGATGCAAACCCCCCCCTCTGCTTTTATATGCGACAGGTGACCTTTAACAAGCGGAAATTCGGCGTGATGAAGAAGGCGTACGAACTGTCGGTACTGTGCGACTGCGAGATCGCGCTGATTATCTTCAGTTCGAGCAACAAGCTGTACCAGTATGCGAGCACCGACATGGACAAGGTTCTCCTCAAGTACACCGAGTACAACGAACCCCACGAGTCCCTCACCAACAAGAATATTATCGAGGTGAGTCCCATTTATCCGCCACCGATTCTCAGGATGAACGAGGACGCGCCGAGGATCGAAGTATTGACGTCGTCGCTGATTTTTCGTTAAACTCTTTTTTTCTCTCCCGATGGAAGAAAGGAATATATGTATATATGTATATTACACACGTTTCTGAATATGTATATATGCAATATATGCCAAGGTCAAGACAGCGGTGTGTCGAATATACAGGGTGTATCGAAGAAGCTCACTAGGAATCGCAAATGATAAAACCCGGAACGGAAAGGATCCTCGACAGTTTCAACGTTAGAACACGGATTAGATTTTCTTTCGCACCGCTATTGCGTGTTAAAGGGTTCTCTTTCAGGGGTACGAGGGAATAGCAGGGCCAGTTTTCAGATGTGATCCGGGCGATCCTTGGTTTAATAGAATTTCAATCTTTGGCTTAATTAATCGGTCAGATGTCACGACATTTAAAATCGTCGATTTTGAAAGAAACTTTAAAAAAGAAATAATATTCTCAAAAACAACACGTATACCTACATCCCGACACGTTTACTCACACATACAAATGCGTGTCGCTGTTTTACGATGACCGGAAAGTTTTAGAACACTTACTTGCGTTCTTTGCACATATTTCCTTTTTATTTGTAAAGAATATAAAATCGACGGTTTCATGTCGATACCATCTATCGCGGGACACGGTTTCAACTTCACGATGGGAGCGACGCGGCGATCCCTTTTTCCTTTCCTACGCGAGCGTAATTGCGAGAGTAAACCGGGTAGGATAAGAGAAGCGCGCGTCTTGGTGTTAAATTAACGTGCATGTGAAGGTTGAGTGCCCTCGGGCGGTGTGGTCACGTGAACCTGTCTGCTGACACTTGCAGGCGCTCAACAAGAAGGAGCATAAGGGTGCCATGTCTCCAGAGAGCCCGGAACCGGACGCGATCGAATACAATCTTACCCCGCGTACCGAGGCCAAATACACGAAGATCGACGAGGAATTTCAGATGATGATGCAGAGGCATCAGCACAATGGCAGCAGGGTAAATATTCAAATCAAGTTAAATGTCAATTGCATCGGGTCGAGCTTATGTTTATGCAAAAAAAGTTACAGTTTCTTCTTTATTACGCTTATTATTTAGATTTATGCAAAGCGCTTGCTGCCAATTAACTTGCTTGTCTGAAATCTTTATAATTTTTACGGAATACGAATATAGGATTTTATAAGTTATATGATTTCCAAGACGTCGAATCTCTCAAAGTATCTTATCAAAAGTATTTCGAACTCAGTTCTGTCTGTCACTTAATTTTATTTATATGGAGACTAGACAAACAATTTAACATCTTAAATTTATTTCTGTCAAAGTAATATGTAAATATGATATTTTATTCAAAATGTTTGGCGATTTTTTCCTGACTTCGCGACAATGTTTTTGCAACAAATGTTAAAGCAATTGTTAAATATTTCATTATTTTAAAATACATTCGAGATATGTGTATAGATTATAAAATTACACATATACAACGATAATATTTTATATATTATTATCTTTTATTATATATTTATTATTATGTGCAATATTTAAAATTAATATATTACACACAATTCATAATTTATTGGCAAGAATTGGTTATATTTTAATAATTGATTTAAAATGAGAATAATTATATAGAATTAATTTTTGCTTGAATAACAAACAATAAAGAATCTGAATTTCTATAAGAAATTTATTTTATATATTTATTTTATTAAAATTGTTTATCCAGTTGTTTTTATAATACTATTTTCGCTGTGTATGTATGAAAAGAATCAGATATGAGTGTGTCATTATACAACACGCGTCATTATATTACACAAAATTAAGACAGAACAATAGCAAATTGCAAATTTGCTGTGAACTGCTCGCCGCAACGCTTATATATACATATATCTACACTACAGATATTATTAATTTGCATTGTGTCTGTTGTGATTGCAGACAATGGGACAATCGAATTATACGCTACCGGTATCTGTACCAGTGAACAGTTACGGCGAATCTCTTCTTGGATCTAGTCCACAGATGGCACATACCAGCATTTCTCCACGTCCATCATCGTCTGAGACGGATTCAGGTAGCTTTAATTAGTAACAGAAGACTGAAACAGCAAATTCCCGATATTTTCAAGAAATTTGCGTCTAACTTGTTAAATTATTCGTTCTAGTGTATCCCCCGGGAGGAATGTTGGAAATGAGCAATGGCTACCCTCCGTCAGCGTCACCATTGGGTGGTTCACCTAGTCCAGGACCTTCGCCTGCACTCGGGGTCGGTGGAGGTAGTGCAAATAAAGGCAGCAATCCGTCTAGGCATTCGCCGCAACCTCCGCCTCCGCCACCGCCTCATCCTCACAGGGCTAACCTTCGAGTGGTTATACCAACACCACTCGCGCAATCTCTCTCTGAAGACACTAATTATGATGTAATTGTCTCATAATTGTTAACTTTAAATGGGTGTTATAAACAAAAAATTTGTCCTTTGTTTTATAATGAAATTTTTCTGAATTTCTCACATTCATGAATTATATTAAAACATAAGGTGTAAAGCTAGAAATTGGATTCCGAATTAAGAAAATAAGCTCTTTCTTTCTGCCAAAAATATTTTGACCGTTAGAGAAAAAATTCTTTATCAATTGCTAAATCTTATATTGTGTATTTGATAGAAGCATTAGGAAATTTACGATATGTTGTGCATTCATGCTTTCAGAATGCCCATACGCAGTCTGCATTGAATACACCTGTAGTAGCGTTACAAACACCAACAGTACCAGCCGGATACTCTAGTTTTGGACCAACAGATTACTCCTCGGATCTCGGGGGCCTTGCATGGCCCACTCATCAGAGGTACGTTGTTGATGACTTATATTCGGCAGCCACCATGTCCAGCATCAGGTAAATCATATTTCATAATTATTGTTGTGAAAAAAAGCTATATGTCCAGTTGGTATGACATATTTTTAGTTATTTTATTCACATTAGATAACAGATGATACATTTTCGGTTCTAATCGGATTAAAAAATTGAGTACATGTAATAGAATATTACACACATTTTAATAAATTGTAATTTGATTACAATTTGTTTACGTGCTGCAAGCGTACATAAGTTTCAATTAGTTTCTACCTTCTCTTGATTCTCATTCTCGTAGTTATTTCTTTTTGTTTCTTTCTTTTCTTCACTTGTCTCTTTTTAAATTAATTCTCCATATGGATATTACTTAATGGAATAATTCGCACGAAACCTGTCGCTGGGTAGCCGTAACGTAATATATCGACCACTGGAGCGCTATAGTTTTTTTTCGGTTACAATAGTGTTTGGCATGTCATTAAATTATGGAATGTTGGAGTGTTCTTCATTTTCATCTACAGATTGTTTGCGTAGTTGAGTCACACACTCTTATGGGGCGATACATTTATTAAAAGTACATTCTCATGATTCATATCATGATTTTATTAACTTTCATTCATGCATGATTGCACGTTCTCATATATGTATAGGGTTGGGATGAAAAATTATATATAGCTTCTCGCTACGCTAGACTCGATAAAAACATATTCACACAAGAACATATTTTCTTTTTGAGTTTTCTAACTGTTTACATAAAATTTTTTCCCCCGTAGTATCACGAAACTTTTTCGATTTGCAGTGGTCTTCCTCACCTAGCTGTATCGAGCAGTACACCGCCACCATCCACGTCGCCTTTACCTGTAAAGATAAAAAGTGAACCGATAAGTCCACCCAGAGACCCGCACGGCGGTAACAGTGGGTCCAATGGTGGACCCAGCAACGCCAGCAATCTACACCACACAAACTTGAATGTCGGTCCATCGTCCAGTACCGGTGCCCCACCGCCACATCACGTGTCTCATCCGGGGCCTCAGACACTGAACTTAGTATCGAGCAGACCGAGTAGTAATCCACCTCCGTCCCATTCGGGTAGCATAACACCGACAAATCTACCGTCGCCTGGAAGTGGTGCGGTCGGTGATATCAGAACGAACCATTCTAGCGGTGGCGGGAACGGAGGGAACAGTTCAGACTATGAGAACGGGCCGCTCATGAAACGCTCGAGAATCACGGAAGGTTGGGCGACTTAATGTCGATTAAATTGTTGCACTCATCAGTTGTTTGATACCTCCTCGACGTACAACGGCATATAGTGCTTGTGAGTTCCAGTATAATTAAACAAACTCCTTTTAAACGTCTTTGAGACGCGTACTTCGTACTATCGCGATAACGATGGCTACGGGAATGGGTACGCTTCCGCCGTAGCTAGCGGAGTGGAAAAATCTGTTTATATTTTGAAGCTGAATACAGAATATACATTTATTTGAAGAAAAAAAAAAGAAAATACGGTGCCATAATGTTGAAACTTTATATATATATTATATATATGATAGATACATATATATATTTTCATGTATATAATATGAAGTGTTGTTTGTATATATGTCATAAAATTCGTAATAACTTTCGCGATATGGCATTGTGTCATCGATGCTTATCGTACGAAAATTTATGCGAAGGGAAACAGTATGTTAGGGAAATACCCAAATACGCAGTACCCAAATTGTGAAATTTCTGAAAGTGTAATACTGAATCTAAAAGAGCTTGTGAGGAAATCTACACATAGTGTAAGATTTATAAAGACCAGAACTTACCATCGCAATTCGTTGTTGTTTTGTATGGTATAGTAGTCAGAATTACGCCATAACCCGTTAATACAATCTTGCGCTGCAAAAATATGCTTTGTTCGGAAACATTGCCATTGCGCTTCGTAGACATCGTATTCCATGCAACAGCCATTCATTTGTGGGCAACTTGATCGTTCGCGGAAAACTATTAATTGCGGTTTTCTTGTCACAGAATTTATATCGAGAGGAAATTTTATATTTTACTTTGTACATTAAGATTTTTTATATTTTTGAATTAACCAACTAATTTTACTGTTAACGTGAGTTTATTAACGGTCTATGGTTCCCGAACATGCGGAAATCGGCTGCTGTACTCAAACTTTTCATGATATTCTATAGAACAAGATTCGAAATTAATATATTGAGTTATGAGGTAATACAATAGATAGGCATATTATATAGTGTTGATTAATAAAAAAAAGATATACACACAGCGCGCGTATAGATATATACATACATCTATATATATATATACACGTTATATACATTTTCCACAAGTATTTTGCACATTTGTATAAAGATTATGGAGGAAGAAAACTTGAAAACTTTGCAACCCTTGAAGCCTAAAAATATGTAACGAGAGTTTATATACTACAGGTATATGCCGTATAGTAAAAATGTGATTAAATAAAACTTACGATAAGAAGGATTGAGTGATATTAATGTTAATAACTTTAATCGTAAATTTTTAAAGAAACCAAAATTATATTTCTAAATACACTTCATTATATTTGCCAACCATGATCAATTTTATGTATCTTAATCTGTAGTTCTTTTTAATACAAAAACTTCCAGAAGGATTGATAATGATATAATTCTATATATAGAAAACGAAAATGGTTTGTTCTTAAGGTGAGAATATCTAAGAAATCTTTCGTCGCAGAGATCCATTCTGTGATATATAAGAAATTATATATAGAAGAGACGTTTATCCTTTTCGATATCAGAAACGCGCGACCTTCTCGGCCAACAATCACGTAAAAGTAAATCTAAACGATATTTGGCAAAACAGGGTTGCAATTGTATAACGATGTAGAATTTACCTTCTTCCTGAAATCAGTAAGATGAAAATGTGTCAAGATGGTTTCAATGTATGTTTTACAATCTCAGGATGTATCCTGGTGAGAATCGTTCTCGAGAACTGTATTTGATAAATTATTGTAATTAACATACTAATGGAATACGCAGGTATATGAATGAATAGTGCCTGGCACCATTTGTGGCCCTCCTGTTAGGATGCTTTCCCAAATCGTATATGCAGTACAATTTGTTAATAAAGTCTTGAAAATAATAAGCTACTTAAGCGAATATATATATGTATATTCGAGAAACGATATATGATGTTGTAAGCTTTATAATGTGACTTTTTGACAAATAGCGTGGGAAGGCAACCTTTATTGTAATCGAAGGTTGTACGATGAGGTATGACCCTCGATATTCATTTTCTTTATTAACGCATATTAGAAATGTTTCATATGACTGTACGAACAATCGGTATGTGGAATATGAAAGCGTAATGCGTATAGTCATTAATCTTAATCACGAATTTTTAAGATGATCACAAAGTGCAATCTCTTAGCCAACACACTTTTTTATCAAACAAAAAAATATAAAGAAATTGTTATTTTTCATAACGAAGAAGTAAACTTTAATGTATTAAAGATATATATGTCTCCACTAGTTATTAAACTTTTTCCTATTGACACGAAATTTATTATATTTAATTGATATTTAATTGTAATATATTCTATTCATATATTACGAAGGATGATTGTATATGCCTGGCTCGCAGGTATAAATGTTTCCAAGTGGATTTATATTTTGAAATTTTGTTTTACGTTTAAATGCATTTGATCGGTACATTAAAAAGGAACATGAATAAAATCGAAGGCAATCTCTCAACGTTGTTTTACCGACAATATGATATTCTCTATTGTGACTTTTTCGTAACTTTGTACGTAAAGTAAAAAACGTTAAATCGTTAATTTTATCTCGGCGTTGTTACATTGGATATAATATCGGAAGTTAAAATTCCTCACATATATGTATCTCACACAGGATATAATTTAAATTTAATCTTAACGAGTATTAATGAACCCAAAACTTGTTAATTCTTTCTCTGAAATGCCCTATTGTGATATCGAAACTAACATGATTCTTCTGCATAATGAGTCCATCTAAAGTCATTTTAAGTGTTCCGACATCGACACTTCTATAACAGTCACAGTGTGATGTGAAAAGCATGAGCAGTACTTTATATGCAAGGTTTATATGTACTATCTGATCTATTTTACCATAACATACAGTACGATAATGCATAACAAAATCCATAAGAGTAGGCAATTTGTTAAATGTACGTTAAGTACATGTACGTACACTTCAATGTATATTTTTAATATGAAGTACGGTGTAAGTTATATCTGTGAGCAAAAATAAGTTGATGTAATTAAAGATGTATTCGTCTTGATCGGCACAACTTATGACGAAGATTACATTGTTGTCAACGTCGCAGAATAGAATCAAGTTCGTACCTTGCAATTTTCACGTGTTTGACTGCAAATATTGAGAAACATTTTAATTTTGAAATATCATTTGAAATAATAATACGGAGAAGATACATTATCAATTTTGGAAGACTTTCATATCCCGGTGACTGAAGCTGTATTCTTCTGCGTAAGTTTCTTTTCTTAAAATTACGGCTAATTTGTGTGATATATATTACGTTTAAAATATATATTGCGTTTAAAAAAAAATATTCATTGTGTATTCTAAATACTCTTTGGTTACTTGCCGTAAATTACGATCATACAGTTGTGCCTCAAGATTTCAACAGATATTCAATACGTAAAAGTAATGATAATTATTGTAGTTAAAAACTCAGAGACTATTGAAATTGTTGGAAACGCTGTGAACGAAATGGACCATCGTTAGAAGAGCCATACGCGTAAGATAAAATGAGGTCTACGGATGGTTAGACATTTTATATTGCATAAACTAAGATTGTTTGGAAAAGAGGCCATTATAGGCTTTAGGCAATGTTCGCAAATAATCGAATTGCAATGCACGGCACAAGTACCAGATCACTGTAACAATGTAGCAAAATAAAATACAATGTATATGTACTAGCCACAACTGTTGTCACCACAAATATAAATAAATATATAAATATATATATATATATATTTATATATATATATATATACATATATATATACACAATTAAGTTTAAATACAGATTTAAGTACTGGACATATCTGTAAAGCCAAGTAGCATCACATTTTTAAACGTCATAAGAATATCGTCATTTTACTGTTACTATCTGTATCTGTGCATTTTGAAACTGAAAACGGTATGACCTGTTTGATACGTACACAATTACACCAAAAGTTATAAGATCCTTCATATATTTTTTAACATATAGTTATCATATTATTGAGTTTTCCGCTTAGTTTTGAAATGCACTCTGTGAACAGATGAAGTGTATGACGGGGGGGGACATACTTTAAACATTATTATGTAGTTATACACGTATTTGTATAATACAGTTTAAAGGGGAGGTTGTTTAACAATTCCTCAAATTGCGTATCATACTGTTACAGTTAATTTCGAGATACAGTTACATTGTACAATGTATAAATTTTAAATAGAACAGTATGTATACACAGACACGCGCACACACGCACACACACCCACACAGACATACACACAAAAGATTTGCATCATGCATACACAGCCGGATGTATGCATATGTGGATATATATGTATAAAAGTTATTATAATAATGTGTAATAGTAATAACATACAATATTATAGTCGTGCGTTACGTTAGCTGATAATTGCGAGAATAAAGGAAAGTAATTCATATAGTGCCATCATAACTGACTAATTAAGGGAATACCGATTTTACGTTTTAAGTAGTAATATCATAGGAGAATATATTTGAGGAAGGAAAAAGAAATACTTACAATGTTGAAGACAAAGACTCGGTTTATGTTTGTAATAATAATTATAATGTTTGCCAAGTTTGTTACGTAAGTACGAAGCCATTGAGAAATTTTATGTGCTAAAATCTTAAAGACATAACTTTATTCTCTTATGCACATTCAATGCCACACGCAATAGTACTTGAGTACACGAACCCGTCGAACCCGGTTTGTGCGCTCATGGAGATGGCGTAAATACGCTACGGACACGGAATTACAAAGCCCCTTTGTTTGTACGTTATACCTTTGGTGCTCGACATTACCCAGTTATTGTTATACGTTATTATTACTGATCTGTATATGACCATGCTACCATATTGCCTATTATTGGTCAGTATAATCATTGTCAGAGTTAGTGATAAATAATGATTATTTGATAACGCTCTGTGTACATCACACACATACATACAACATTGTAAACACATACACATTGTGGTTATATTTCAGTGTATCAGCATAATGATATGATTATTACGATGTTGCCCATAGAATACATTTTACTTGGTTTTTACATTTGGCAGTATTTTATTTTGGCATTATTCCATCCACCTGTAGCTTTTCTCAACGCTCAATTCTCATTGTTGACTTGTACGTGTAGTGCGTTCTCTCATTTTTGTATATTAACATTATTTGTACTTGAGAATCAGAAATCTGAAGTTATTTTGCGAATTCATCATGTTGCTCGCATGCTTCCGCTGTGTATTACTTCGCGACGATTTGCGATCTTTTCTAATTTTATATGTAAAACATTACTTACCGGCTCGATAAGTTTGTTATTATAGAAAACGTGTTTTGTTGCTTGTTAATAATGCCCATCTTTAAACTGTGTTTTTGTTAGGTAACTGTAATGTTAACACGTGAGAATCCAATCTACGTTATATCAATCTCATTGCGTTTTCTAAAATCTCACGACACACGTCGAGTTGCTTATTGAAACCAACTTCATTATGCATAAAAACTATAACAGGCAATTACTTCTATAAATAGTAATCGAAATATTTAACACATTTATGCAGGAAAAATATATAAGAAATAATTATATAAAGTCAATAGTCAATATTACATGACGGTTAATAGTATATATGCTATATCCAGCATCTTGATACACTGGCGTTCAAATTTATTGAAAAAAAATGTAACTTTTAATACATATATCTTGCCATTAAAAAAATTTCTATTTACTCATTTTTTCTTGAACTTTTAGTATCATTGTTTCATCGAGACAATTGTGTATATTATACGCGTATATTATAATATCTTTATTCGTTTACACGCAATTCTCTCTCGAGGATGTAATATATTTTTAATATACATTTTTCTTGTGTAAATCTTTGTGAGATGCGATATTTTTGTAACGCTGACGTCTCTACGACAATTCAGTTAACTGTGGACCTGTGTCTCTCGGAAAGCGCGATGATAAGAAACAATTTTGAAATGCTTAATGCGTAACGAATCTTCGTCTCTCATAGATAATTATATCTTAAGGAGTAATCACACAACACTTTGCGCGATTGCAAAAGAACCAAATTTCTTGCGAGCGGCTCGATGTCGTATGTATGTGATTACGCGTTACGCTAAAATACACTTTTTGAAACACGAAGGGATACGAGCTACACACAGTTTCAGGATGTTGTTCCTAGAATTCTGTGAAGATATATGTGTTCACAGTGATGGAAAGAATAAGATATATATTAGCGTTCTCTTTTTTTTCCGAATTCACAGTCTATAAATAGCTGCCCATCGCATCAACGCCCTTTCCTTTTTACCTTAAGTATGTAATCTATATATGGATTATATATCTTGTACTTAAATCTGGACCGCGCGATGTGATGATATTTTATATACCTGTTACAAATCGGAGACCAGATGTCGTCGCTCCAATAACGAGCGGGCAAATTTAAGACATACCGAATTTTCTCTTCCGTTTTCTTTTTCTACCGCTTAACGGAAATGTCTATGTTAATTACTTCCGCATTGTACATAATGTGTCCCTCAGTCTTTGACTCATCCTCTCTTCTTTGGACGGTCAGACGGACAGTTAGCTATGTGTTCTAAACTTTAGGGATCTCGACCACGCGTCTATGCACACGCATATACAAAAGTACATATATATATACACACATACAAATACACACGCACATACACACAACCACACCACATACATATATACACTTTAAGATAAAAGTCGGTATGTTATTCAGTGTAGCACAATTGGTTTGCACTGAATATCAATCTTCATTGTGACGTCCACTAATGTAATTTGCAACGATTGTAAACACGTAAGATAGACATTGGAGAACAATTGACCCTCTCAAAGGGAAGGTCTGAAACAAAACCTGCGAATCGACATATCTCGTTATCTTAATAATGTACGAGTATTTAAATACGTATAGGTGTATTTGACTGTATTTGAGAGGAGCGTATTTTCTTTTCATTTGTAAGAGGTATAATTCATAGTTTTTCGTGGTTTGCAAATAATTCGGCATAATCTCTGCGAGTTCTATTTAAATAGATATCTCGGACACAACACACACGTGGAAAAAGTCTTTGCGACGTTCTTCAGAAAACGTTGTTAGATATCTTTAACTGCGTTGTCTGCATAGTTCTTTTTATATTACAGCTATTATAATTTACAGAAGCACGTCAATATTAATACAAATTGTCGATGGACATTTTAAATGATATATGTCTGTTCCTCGATTTTTGCGCAACAGTTCTATTTTTACGAAAATTTCTTTAATATTACAAACGGGTAATTTAGGGGGGACTGCTCATTATCTTCTCCAAACTTTATATTTCTCCATGAATCAAGGCAGATGTAGATATAATTTAAATATACGAGCCACGAAACCCGGAATGGTCAGTCAATTCTCTCTTTCATTTATTTATCTCTTCTTTCTTTAGTAAAGAATGCTCTATCTTACGTGCGTACGACCGTGTGTCTATCCTCTGTAGAAATGCCTTATTATCACGTGCCTCAATTAATATTTAAACTGTTCACCTGCTTATATACCTATTACTCGTTAGTCTACGTAACGAATATATATGTGTAATATCGAGTTATTCTTTGTACTGCTCTTGTAAATATATTCTGAAGAATTAATGTCACCCTGTCGTCTATACTGTGTACACTGTCTCGTATATTATACGTTTCTACCGTTCTTCCACTTTTACCGAAACGCACAAATATCTCTCCCTCTCTGAAAGATCGTCTCGTAAAAAACAGCTAAATTGAAGAAAAAACAAAATCATGCTTACATTTTTATTCGTATGCTCGTAGCGTATTTGTTTGTACGTTTATAGAAATATTTAATTTCCAATCGAAAAGTATTCGCAAGGTGATTTCCCTTTTTTTCTTTCTTTTTACTCTTGTTTAACTCTCTTAATTTTTATCACGCGCAGGAAACGATTTGAAGAAAACGTAACGCATTGATCGAAATTTAAAGTATGTTAAATTGACTCGCAAGTTTTCGAGCTCGATCTTAATTCTGAAATCTTTAACATTTTCTGGGAAAAATGCAAAATTATTTTTCTAATCATTTTTCAATATTTTTATTATTCTTTATTTATACTACAATATTCATTATTCTTATTATTTTTCTTATATAACAGAGATAATATAAAAGAAAGGAAGCATATTTTACATGTAATTACATATAAACAATTCTTTAGACTAATTTCGAAAAAATTCGGAGGTTTTACGCCAATTCCGATTCTTTTCAATTCGCTTTTAGGGACGTCGTACTTTTTTAATTTTTCCGCAAACTATCCGTACGTCTTCGTATCGCATGTATATCGTAATACGCAATCCAGTCTTTTCCATTTCATTTCCGCTTTTTCATGTTGCGTTTCCCCTCCGCTTAATTACTTCCACACTTTTCGTACGTCCGTCCTTAATTGTAAAGACTGATCGGCACGTAGCGACATACGAGTTTATTTACGCTTTTATAATCACATTTTTTTCCATTCCAGCACGAGCCGTCATCGGCACGAACCTCATTGAAATTTATTACGCAAAAACCGGAAGATAAGTTCTTATTCTCAGTTCTTGCGAAAGGGGCTAAAGATGAGCGCAAATTCGCGTGCACAAGCTTGTAGCAGTTATAAATAATACTGAACGTGAACATAATTTGGATAAGGAGATAAGCAAATCCCTGCGGAACTTTCAAATTCAAAAAAATTCACTTTGCCGCGAAGTTTTGTCCTTGTTTGAAATTCCGAACTCTCGATCGATGTATCGATCGTCACCTACATAACGAGTTTCATACGTTTTCCTTCTACGTGTGAGAGATGGCTGCACCGTCGCCACAACACATCTTGAACATAACCTGACATTTGTGCGTTGCTAAATACTGTACTTGTGGATGCACATATTTTAGACTTTATAATCGTACATATAGGTAGATTTACGTATGATATATTGTGATTTTGTAACTACGTAAGCCGTAAGTCGACGGAAATAAATCTGATTGTGAAAATGCCGCCAAAATCCGCAATGGTAATTCCTCATTCCTTTATTTCGAAAAAAAAACAATTACTTATGTTTATTTATCAGGACGGTTAAACGTGACTGTCGCATTTATTTCAGAATTCTAAACGCAACAGCGGGAATAAAAAGAGCGTGTCAGAATCGCGTGTGCCTCCTAGGGCGGTATTAGATACCGGCAACGCGAGCGGTTTGGATCCGGAAGCGCAGGATCGTTTTGAATTGGAACTATGTTGGTGTATACAGCAGTTAGAAGCGAGCCTGGCGACCGGCAAGTTGCAGGAGAAGCAGGCGCACGAACTCGGCAAGCAATTACATTCGTTGAAAAGCAACACTGCGCCGTTAATAAAAAAGAGGCAGATAATGAAGAATACGTTGGGGGACTACAGAGAGAAAATGGCTGAGGACGAGCGAAAGTTGAGCAGAACCGTATCGGCTGTCAAGTTTACTAATACTGCCTCGGCAAGCAAAAAGTCAATATTTGTCAAGAAAGCTAGTGGAAGTGGTACACAAGATTCTAATAGACAGATGGACGATCATAGAACGCAAAATATGTTACGAAGTACAAAGCAAGCTGTTAGCGACAGTAATAGAACTGACACTCCATTTCGGTTTGATTTTCAAGCGTGTCAATAAAATTAACTTTTACAATTCTATAATGTACCACCTTATTTACGTAACATTATCCTGATTTAGTTTAGTTATATGTAGATATATTTTGATTTTAGTCGAAGGATTATTTGTAAAGTATGGAGTATGATTTGTTATGGCGAAATTATGATTTACATATGGAATTCTCATTTTAATTTATGCATATTCGTGAAGTTTAGTTAATATATTATGAAACATCAAGATAACAAATTTCACGTATGTAGAACGAAATGGTATTATCAAAAATTTATTTTAGATAGATTCTTTAGTAGTAGAAAGTCATTTTTTCAGTTTTAATAATTAAAGATTTTAAGAAGCATGGATAAATGAACGTAGAGGTGAAATAGTCACGTAAAACACAATTTTTAATTTCAAGTATCCGTTGCGGTCCTGTGGCGCAACGGATAACGCGTCTGACTACGGATCAGAAGATTCCAGGTTCGAATCCTGGCAGGATCGGCATTTTTTTTTTATATCAATTTTTCATACAATTTAAGTTTTACTTCTGTATGCAAAAGATGTCTGACTCTAACGTAAATGTTTGTAGATTAATAATAAGTGTCTACTCGAATACATTTCTCCAAATAATATTCACAGTCAGAATATTGTGTTTAAGTAGATACTCCGAAGTACAGTCTCGAGATGTGATCTGTAATTTTATTGGCCCTTTTTAGGTGCAATCTTAAGATCGTCTAAAATCAGACTTAAGATGATTTTAAATATAGGCGCGGTTTAGAAAGAGAAAGAGCTTATTAAAAAATCGAAACTGAAATGCGAGAGTCAGAGAGAGAGAGAGAGAGAGAGAGAAACCTGTCAAAGCTTGCTTTCTCTTTCTAAAATATGGTATAGCGGCGTAAGCGTAATTGATCGCGCAGTCTACACTTGATTATATATTTTATATATATTATATCCGACGTGACAGTGATTCTTAGGCCCTGTACACGATAGGGCACACATTAGAAATAAGAATAAATATTAAATATTAGGAATCGGAGTTAGAAAAATGATAATTAAACGTAACGCACGATGGAAAAGAACAAAATACAAGATATAAATATAAGAATATTTCTACATTTATATATCCTAATATTTAATATTTATGTGCTCTATTGTGCGCGGGGTCGCATTCTCACAATACCGTGCATTCCAAAACTCGTCGAAAGAAAACCTTTTCACCTGTTCAGCGAAAAAAAAGAATACGATTGGTTCTTGTCTTTGATTCTTCCTCAGATCTAAGTGTAGAAACCAATCACAATAAAGAATCATCGAGCGCTCACCGAGTTGCTTTTTCCGCTGAAACCCCATTATCCTTGTGATTCGATCGCGCATCGCGTCTCGCTGTGACTGCTGTGAGTTGTGTGACCGGCAGCTTGATCGCGTGGGACAGCGTGAGACTTCTCCAACATGGGCGACAACGTGGTAGCCGACGTGCAAAGTCTGACCTTGGAGGATAAGGCACGAATCCCCCACTTTACATAAAACTCGAGCTTCTCTCGTATTTTGAGTATCGTTAAACTATGCTGACGAATTTACGTTTTCACGTTTGTAGGACCGTTTACGGCGGTACTAAGTGGACACATGTTCGGGTTGGTTAAGACGTTTTTTTCCCTGCCTTCCCGACTCCCCCTCTCACAATCGTTGCACCGTTAGCTATCAAACGCGTCGTTATTCCACCGTCTAACAATACAGTCGCGTTAAAACATACCTCTTGTTTGCAACATGTAACCAACCATCAGAATCGATAATCTGACGTAACCTGTGAGCATTGTTTCACGCAAAGTATCGCCGGATGTACGCTCTCACCTGACACGCGACGATCCTTTGCGTCATTCAATTCGTCACTTGGACTCGGCTTTTATTTCGAATACTATCTTTTCCAGGCGAAGTCAATGAAGGCACTGAAGAAGAAATCTGCTGCAGTGGAGAAATCTGTATCGGAGCTTAAACCTTGGCCCTCTTACATTCAGGTAATCTACTCGGTTATCACGTCAAAATTTGAACGACGTTAAGTTTTCTGTAAATATAATTTTAAAATTTAAGCTGTAATATCTTTCTACGCATATTGATACGTTAGAAAATAAAATTTAAGCAGGAATTTATTCAAAATTAAATTTTTTTTTGTAATAATTATTATGTATTGTTTATATTATTATAATATTTTACAGTATCTTAGTTTTTACACTTTATTATATGTATAACGTCTTTATTTTTATAATTTTTGTCTTTTGTAGGAACGTATCGTATTATGGGATAAATTGAAAACGGAATACGAGGCTGCAATAGCGGCAAAAACTCCCGTAGATATTACTGTGACTCTACCGGATGGTAAGAAGATACCCGTGCAGTCCTGGCGTACAACTCCTTACGACGTTGCGAGAAGCATTAGCCAAGGATTGGCAGATAATACCGTAATCGCAAAAGTCAACAATGAATTGTGGGATCTGGACAGACCTCTGGAATACGATTGCAAGCTGCAACTCCTGAAATTTGACGACCCGGAAGGTCAGCAAGTGTTTTGGCATTCCAGCGCTCATGTCCTCGGGGAAGCTATGGAAAGAGTTTACGGCGGCTGTCTTTGTTACGGTCCTCCCATCGAGAACGGCTTTTACTACGACATGTATCTGGGCGAAAAGGGCATTTCCAACACGGACTTCCCATATTTGGAGGGTCTGTACAAGAATATAGTCAAAGAGAAACAGCCGTTTGAACGGCTGGAGATGACGAAGGAGGATCTCCTGGAAATGTTCAAGTACAACGAATTCAAGGTGCGGATTATAAACGAGAGAATACAGACGCCCACCACCACAGCTTACAGATGCGGCCCGCTGATCGACTTGTGCAGGGGACCGCACGTTAGGCACACGGGAAAGATCAAGGCCATGAAGATCACGAAAAACTCGTCCACGTACTGGGAGGGGAACGCTAACGCGGAATCGCTGCAGAGAGTGTACGGAATAAGCTTTCCGGATTCCAAGCAATTGAAGGAGTGGGAGAAGTTTCAGGAGGAGGCAGCCAAACGGGATCACAGGAAGATCGGAAAGGAGCAGGAGCTGTATTTCTTCCACGAACTTTCGCCCGGTTCTTGCTTCTTCCAACCGCGCGGCGCGTACATATACAATACCCTGGTCGAATTCATTCGCTCCGAGTACAGAAAGAGAGGATTTCAGGAAGTGGTCACCCCGAACATTTACAACAGCAAACTATGGCAGACCTCGGGACACTGGCAGCATTACGCGGAAAATATGTTCTCTTTCGACGTGGAGAAGGAAACTTTTGCGCTCAAGCCTATGAATTGTCCAGGTCACTGCATGATCTTCGACGTTCGCAACAGATCGTGGCGCGAGCTACCGCTCAGATTGGCTGATTTCGGCGTGCTGCACCGCAACGAGCTGTCGGGCGCGTTAACGGGCCTTACCAGAGTGAGACGATTCCAGCAGGACGACGCGCACATATTCTGTTCTATAGAGCATATTAAAGACGAGATAAGCGGCGCTCTCGACTTTCTGTGGCACGTCAATTCCGTTCTTGGTTTTACGTTCAATTTATGCCTGTCCACGCGACCGGAGAAGTTCTTGGGCGACATAGGAATGTGGAATGAGGCGGAGAAAGCATTGGAGGATAGCTTGAACGCATTCGGCCAACCGTGGGTCCTAAATCCTCAGGATGGTGCATTTTATGGACCTAAAATCGACATAACCATCATGGACGCGCTTAAAAGGGCTCATCAGACCGCTACGATACAATTAGATTTCCAGTTGCCAATCAGATTCAATCTATCATACGTTAAGTAAGTATCCATTATAAAAAGCTTCATTAAATTTTGATAAAAAAAGTTGGAGTACGGATTATTCATTTTTATTATGTATTTTGCAGCGAAGCTGGGGAAAAAACTCGACCGGTTATTATACACAGAGCTATTCTTGGCTCCGTAGAACGTATGATCGCAATTCTAACTGAATCGTATGGCGGTAAGTGGCCATACTGGCTGTCTCCGCGGCAAGCGATGGTTGTGCCGGTAGCATCGCAATTCGACGACTATGCTTACGAAGTGAAACAGAAACTCTGGGACGCTGGTGTTATGGTCGAAATCGATACCGATCCGAGTGACACCCTGAACAAGAAGATTCGTAATGCTCAGCTCGCACAGTTTAACTTTATACTCGGTACGTATTAAGCTCTTGACGAATAAAATTATGAAATATATATCTTATTCTGAATTATATTACTTGCTGCTTCCGTTTATTTTACCATAACAGCTAATAACGCGAATCTTGTTACAGTTGTGGGAGAGAAGGAACGTAATGCCGGGACAGTAAATATAAGAACGAGGGACAACGTAGTTCACGGTGAAATGGCAGTGGACGAATTAATCACGAAGTTGAAAGTCCTGAAAGAAACGAGAGATCAAAGCGGCGAATTAAAATCTTAAAAAATTCAGCAATCTATATTAAAACAAATTTATTTATTTCTAGATATTGCACGACATTTTGCTAAATTAATAATAAGCTTAACGATAACATGGATCCATTTTTTAATCCATGTTTTGTCCAAATTTTTTCTGTATTTAAGAAAATATAAATTTTAATTTTTTGTACCTCGATTATTCTGTTTCCATAAATATGAAATTAAGTTAGTGATATTAATTTATGTGTATTTTACACAATGTGCGGCATTTATTATGTGATCAGATATTTGATTCTTTGTACACATTTTGTTTTACTACATTATATATACAATATATTATCAATTATCATTTCTACAAAATTTATTTTATCATTTTATAATGGTAATCATGGTTTAAAACATTAATATTACTAATTAATAATAAAACTTATTAATACTAACTGATCATAGTTTAAAAATTCTTATTGACGTAGTCTATTTTCATCTCTCTGATCAATAATATTTATATAATGTAAGATATATATTTTGCCCTATCTTTTTTTCACATATTCGAGAGTAAGAGTCCCTGATTTTTAACCCTTTTACAATTAGATCTCACTACTCCAAATATCTCCTTTCTACCTTCGTATTTTTAATTTGCTAAATATGTAATAGTGCTAGCAACATTACGGAGAGTCGATTTTTTAAATTTGTATTTTTAATTTTATGATTCTGAAAATTCTCTAAAATTATATATTCGAGGATTCGAACGGTTCAAAATTCGATAACGTATCGATACAGAGACAATTAAATAACAACAAATTAAAAACCTTGAACACGGCAATCTCGAAAGTTGTGTCCATTTCTGAATTCTCTTTCGCAGCTCGCACTAATACAACGAGCGAGACTATTGACTTTTATTCTCCAGCGCGATACACGAATATCCGAAGAGGATGCGCGCGCCTCGAATACACCAACGATGCCGTTCACGATGCCGAGTCGGGACGCGCAATATTTTATTCATCAACAATGTTCCCTTTAGCGCAATAATAATTCTACGCATCGTCAGTAGCGTTTATCGCCAATGTCATTCGCGTTGTTATTGAGAGATATATTTTCGCCGCCTCGTGTATCGCGCGGTGCGACGTTTGACCGCCGCGGTGCTCCACTTCCGGGAAGAAACCGGAGCGGCGCTGGTCGGCGCTACACGGGGCGTCGTGGAACGGAACGTAGCGTAGCGGGACTCGAACGCGCGAGCGACGGGGGACGTGGGGACGCGAGAACTGTCCGAAGATGACGACGGTGGCGATCTCCCCAGCCATGGCTCACACCAACAGCGGAATAATACAAGTCGTGAACGAGAGTAATCTGAGCAAGATCGAGAGGTGCGTATTTTCCCTCCCCGTGTCCAGGTCCTGACCCGCGGGCGCGGTTTATCCGGCCGAGAGAGAGAGATAACTCTATCGATCCGCTTTGCAGCTTCCTCAACGACACGGCTTACAGAGAGGCCATTGAGAATTCATCCAATTACAATAGCCGACTATGCCGGGAACGACGTCTTCGCATGCCCTTCCTCGACTCGCAGACAGGTAAGATTCCGAGCCCGTTTACACCGTTTACACGACTGTTGTAGAATAAATCAAACAATCGGCTAATTAACGACAGTGCTCTGGTATTGATTTTCAGTCAGACTCATTGTAAACGTCGCTATCTGAAAAAAAAATAAAATTGTCAATATCGACTTTATTCTGTAAAGGCTTGCTTTATAAAAAATAATATTGATTTTTTAATTAGCACACCGAGTATCTTATATGTAATTAGATAATGAAGTGTATTGATTCGTAGTTTACTGGGCAATACAATGATGTTTTGTAAATATAGACAGAAAATTTGTCAATCTAATTATATTAAATTATTGCCAATTAATTTTATATTCCAGTAGTTACATTAATTGCAATATATTAATTATAATTACAATTACTGTGAGAACTTATCGATATGATTTTGTCTTTAAACAATAGTACAAGAGCTTGTTTGAAATCGCAGGTGTTGCGCAAAATCATTCTGCACTTTTTATGTCCTCGAGAGAAAGATTACCTGGCTTATTGCACGGCCAGGTTTATACTTATCCAAGCAAACGATGGCGAAAGAAACGCCGGCAATATTTAATGCATTATCTACATCCAAAACGAGGACCAAGGGGAGATACGGAAGATGGAACGGAAGGCGTGGAAACTATTACGCATGTAAATGACGATAGCAAAGATTCGGTAGCACTTAAAGGTACATAAAATTAATCGTCAAATTGTATATAAATTGATTTATCGATATCAAAATTATTTTACTTGAATATCCTTTTCAATTGTTTTACTTAGGCCAGTCTTAATATTTCATGTAAATGAAAAATTGAATGTTTTCAGACGAACACAGTAAAGACGCTTGGTATTATGATGAGCAAGACATGTTAGATATGGATGCCTATGAAGAACCTGATCCTGATAGCGACTATGATTACGAGGAGAGTTATAGCAGTAAACGAAAACGCAGAAAAACTCGTGGAGGTGGTCATCATCCTGCTCGTAGTCATCCACCTACCACAGATACTCCGGGCGGTAAACGTACAAAAGTAAGTCATAAGGCAAATATAAATGAATAACAGATACTTTAAATATCAATATAATATAATCCATATATTTGTACCGATTTATTATATTGTAAATATATATTTTTTAAAGCATATTATATTTATACAAATTACTCTACGTGAATCTTGTGATCAATCTGTAGATGTGATTTTAATAATGTGATTTTATTTAACGCAGGGTGGTGGCCGTGGACGTAAAAAGACCAACTACGACTCTGTTGACTCTGATAAACCGTTCGTTTGTGACCGTAAGTTTAATCATAGATATAACTACAAATGACCATTCTTCCTGTTATTAGTTTATTATAAATATTATCGTTATTATTGTTTTGACGTTTATTATTTTAAATAAGTTATAAACAAATGAATAGATTTTTTCCGTTAAAAAATTTGTTAATTTTGTTCACCTACATTCATATCAATATATATTACAACTTGATTATAGTATATAAAATATGATGGAAGATTGAAATAAATTGTTAAATTGTTAAATTGCAGTTGAATATATGGTAATATATAGTTGAATAATCTTGTGCAATGGTAGTCCAGGCAATGGTAACTCAAATACGTAACAAACTATATGTAATGTGGGAAGGTGCTTTCTAGTCTTATTTTCTCATTATCGCGATGACTTAATCTTGTTTGTTCAGAGAGATTGATTAATCATATAATAGTCGGTATTTTTTTCCAAATTCAAATATCGACATATACAAAAATTTAAATACAAAGGTTTTATTATGCGAGAAATATATTTTATTATTTTGTTTTTTACTTGAGTATGGGCAGTCATGGTATGATTCTGAGTGCAAGGCAGAGACTAGTCGTACGTTCCAAATATCCAAAACTTTGTGCATAAATAGTATACGCTTTTTATATGTCTATGCTCTTGAATGTTTCTCTACATTTACTAATCGGATTAAAAATAATTAAAGGATGAATATATAATAAAAATGTTCTGTGCAGACAGCTTATAACTATTATTGTATTAAAATCAAAGATTTATCATATCGCAGTTTAATTAAACTAACATTTTGTCATTTAACTTAACTATATTTCACTTTGATTAAAAGATGAATTACTAACATACGGTATTATTATGTCAAACGCTTGAATTTCATTCGGCACTTTATAATCATCACGTAACATTTAAATTCAAACAGTAAAATTTTTGAATCACGAGTCACTAACTCTTTTGTAAAGACATGTGAGAATTGCCTTACATATTTTTCTCAGAGAAACAGCTCGCTTATATACTCATTATGCACAAATTTATTGGAATTCGATTGTATTTAGCATAAGTAAACAAGAGAAAAAGATATAAAAAGAGAATTAAAATAACTCTTTGAACAATCTCGTTATTATCTGGAAGGAGTATAATAGTCATTACTAATTTGGTCAAACTTTTCCAAACACAAAGTCTATGAATTAACTCGAATGTGCCTGCAATCTGTTTACTTCTTGAAACCACTCCTGTTAGACTAGCAGATAATCTAAAGACATTTGGTCTGGTTATACTAAGCTCGTGTTAGAGACACAATTTTAATGGAGCATTGAACTTATTCTCGTTGACAGTCGAGCTAAATGTCACCGGCCCAAATATCTTCGGACTAGCTCTACCTGCAATAATAACAGAGCAAGAATGTACTGGCTCACACTGTAGCGAGCTCATTCTGTAGGAGTACAAGCATCAAGCCTTGCATCGTATTAGTTTTGCTTCTTGGGCTGGAACTCCTTCACTGCTTGTCCACATATAGACTCGTAGGTGGATAGGGATGTGTACTGGTGCGGAAGGTGTGCAAATGCTATCCCTGACCCCGCCCTGTCAGCTTTACTGTCCCGTACTACCTCCCTTGATCGTCCGTTAAACGAAAGGTCTGTCTTATCATTGGACGTTGCATTGGATGGATTGCGGGAAAACAGTATTTGCACTTTTGCAGTATGCAGCGCACGGTATAAGACCAGACCCGGTCTGGTCTACCATTACGGTCATTCCCACTCTACTTCCTCCGGTGATCCTGCTAAGGAACTAAGTCCCAGTCCTGCCGAAGTTGAACCTAGGAGCGTTGCAGACACCGCTGCTTCGAACCAGCCAGGTTGGAGCCAAAATCAGCTCAGTTTTCTCACTTTCCTTTAAGCCCGCGTTTCTTACCCCTGATTCAGCCTCTGCCTCCCTCTTCCCGCCGCCTCCTTCCCCATTTGCCATTACCTTCATTCTTGTCCCGATCACGCAACTACTCATCCGAGAACTTATCCCAATATAACAATTTATAATATATATATATATATCTCTTTTTTTTACATGTACTGCAAATGTGTGTGCATGCATTGCAAATAAGATATCATGACGTTTCTTCTCTAATTTTTAAATTTTTCTATTTCGAAATATGTATGTATTGAATTTATACTTTCTTGCGATGTTCTATTACATATTATGTGTCAAGCTATTTATACATATATATATCATACGGATATAAAAAATATTCAAGCTAGTATGATATATGCGATTTTATTTTGCATTTTATAATTAAATATTTACGTATATCTTCTTTATTTGTGTACATATAGGATATATTTTACATATCAAAATGGGAATGTTTTAATGAATAAGAAAGCGATAATTATTTGTGCTGCATGTATTTTGCAGTAGCATGCTTCTAAACAATATTATAGCGAAATGTTTTTTTTTTTATATACATAAGAGAGAGGAAAAAGATCGTCAAGTCCTGTAGGTTGGTATTTTTCGGTGCGATTACGACGTCGTGACTCTTGAGCGTTTTGTATGTGTGTATGCGTGTTCCTTTTTCATTCTCTTATTTTTGTTTTATCAGTAGCTCTTTTTGTAATCCCTCTTCGGCATGATTATAGTTTTTACGAATGAGCCTAACAAGTGTAAGAGTTCTTCTTTTCGTTGCTATTTTGACGCTTGTATTACTCCTAGAGCGGTTTTGGCTTCGATTCTCCTATTAATGAATGTTGAGGCTTCGTTGAAAATCAAATACCTATTTATATCTTTGAAATTACCTGTAGCTCGAATACGTTTGAAAAGCCGTTTGTTTGTATCTGTCTGTACTTGGAATCGATATATATATATATATATATATATATATATATATATATATATATTTATATTTATATATATATATATTTCGTCGTTATATATCTTGGATTTTGCTGCTGGTGATGGAATGTACTGATTGACATATGCACTTTGTTATACTTACATATAATCAGATTTGTTTTCTTTGTTGTAACAGTCGGTTGAGTCTTGTGAAGTTTAGAATAATTGATTCCGTTATATGAAGAATGCGATAAGACAAAATTAATAGGCATTACAGACTGTTTATGTACACATCACATACGTATACATAAACAGGTTGTATAGCAATTACTTTGACATTATACAGAGTGTCCCAATTGCAATCGTTGCTCCCGATTTTTTTTTTTTTGCGACTTTTTGATTTTTTATATTACAACAGTATTAGTGATAACTGTGTGAGATTATCAAATTAAAATTAACACAGAGTCTACAATTTGCAACTTAGTTTTTTCCAAGATTATCGCAATCATTCTTCTGATTTCTATCTTTGCCCCTTTTATTGCGAGAAACGCACGACAACCGATCTGGGGACTCTCTGTATACATTCAGATGAATTCATCGAGTCGCCTCGGACTCTATTTCCCAGTCCTTGCAAAGATATGCTTCGACATAACCGAATCGATTATGAATAAAAAAAAAGAGAGAAAGAGAGAGAGAAAAAGAGAGCAAGCTAGAGCGAGAGCGAGAGAGTGAGAAAGAGTCGACTATGAATTTGTCTATTGTCTCTATATTATATAAAGCCGGTGTGCATGGTCATCAGCTTGTGACGGCAAAGCGCAACTGGGTATGTTGATCGGTTTGTGATCAGGTGGTACACGTCGGGGTCGTCAGAACGCTACCTCCTCGAATACCTCGAGTCCCTCCCCGGCGGCGCCTACCGCCGCACCCACTGCGGGAACGGCGGGATCGCAGCCGCAGCAATCGCAGCAGCAGCAGCTGCAATCGGCCGTGCAGGCGCCCGTCGCCCCGGCGTCACCCACCGTCCCGGCGACCAAGGAAGATCATCTGCCCTCGGCGTCCTCGCCCGGCGGCACCGCCGTCTCCACGCTGCCGTCCGCGGAGACCGCGGGTGCGACCGGCGGCCCGCCTACCCCCGGGGGACCGACCGCGGAGAAGAAGCCTGGCGGCAAGTCGTCCGCGGCCCAGCCGTCCCCGTACTGCGACTTTTGCCTGGGTGACGCGCGCGAGAACAAGAAGACCGGCGGTTCCGAGGAGCTGGTGTCGTGCAGCGATTGCGGCCGCTCAGGTAAGCCAGAGGAAAAGATCAAGCGCAAGTACACCCGGCGAACGAATCACAATTAACTCGCACTGTCGCCGGCGTGCGACGACGACGACGATGATGATGACTACGACGACGACGACGACGCTGACTACGACGACTACGACTACGACGACGACGACGATGACGATGGTAATCACGTAGTCAAATATATTCATTGAAATCGATATATTCCGAATTGGCGGTGAGAGTCGTACGTTTTTACGGACGACAGTTCTATTTTCTACGTCTCTTTGCGAAATTATATCGCGCACTGCGTTCTTGTGCATACACATAGCCAAATACAACTCAAAAAAGAAGAAGGAGGAAAGAGAGAAGGAATCGGCTTGTTGCAATATCTTGCGTACGCTTCCTCGCGACACGCGCGAACGTGCGAGGTGATCAGCAGTTTATTTACGGGATGATATATGACTTGGAGATCACTTAACGCGATGGTTACGGAGATTATTGGGTATATATATGTATATATATTATATACATATATATACGTGTTTTATGCTGTATATAATCGTTTATACTTCCATGTTTCAGATGTTAATATCGTGAAAGACATTAAGTAATTCGTTAATTTTACGAGCGAGCAAGCAAGCAAGCGTACGTGCCCTTCCTTACGCAAAGAGAGGACCTCGCTGTTTTCTATTCGTATATATTCAAAAACGTACCTACAATTGTTAGACGCGCAATCGAGATGTTTATCCGTTACATTTGTACAATCTCTCTTCTTTACCGTTTCGTTAAATGCGTTAATCACGAACGAGCATGTAGAAGATGTACGTGTAGCCGTTAAAACTGTGAGATATCCATTATCGGCTTTTTGTAGATCCATGCTCTTCAATACGCTTTAGGTTTACCGAGATAATAGGGATGACTTTTTGAGTTGTATAAGGTTACAGTTGTCGCGTGACGCGTCTTGTCATTGCCGCCAAGGGTAGTAGAAAAGAAACCATTGCTGTTGCAACTGGGTGCAATAATTAAGGAAGGAAAGGAAAGAAGGCATTCAATTATCTGCACAGTGTAGGATCAAACGGTTACGAGCTTTACATACACTAGTCAAAGGCGAGGAATACAAAACATCGTTTTGTCAATGGTGCAACTTGTCGCATCTGAGTAATAGGAATTTTCAGGAATTCCTTTACTACGCGAATTTGCTGTGATTTATAGTATCTCAATGATTAGTTTCTAAGATATTGAATCGGTAATGCCGTAATAATTACGAGGAAACAAAAAAAAGTCTTCGTCAGTCCGAGAGAAGTCAAATTTTCGTCGTGTGTGTGTATGCGTGATTGGACGTCGAGTAGCAAAATCGACGATTCGTTTTTGCTTTTACGCGGAATTGTACGCAAAAAATTTGTTGAAATTCCTGTTGCACAGTACCACCAGAGCACGTATTGCGGAGGATGTGTTTGTCTTCTGTTTGACAGTGTATCCTGATATTTTCGTTATTGTGTTAGAAATCAAAAGGGAAGGGAGGCGATGCACGGCGTGAGAAACGCACCGGCAGGTTTAGGAGAATTTAGATGCAATATATATATAATATAATATATATATATAATATATATATATTACATATATATATACTTTATATATCCAGCACAATCATGAGAATCGTTTTAATGAAAGCAACGTATTTATTGTAAGATACTGAGAGATGTTGATCGCGCGTCACTTCAATATTTCTACGTTTTCCCGAACGCTTGTAAATACTTTGGTGGCTTTGCGTTTGTTGGATATTATGAGGTTTTAGACGATGCGAGCTAAGAGCGCAGCGCAGAAAGAGGAATAACGAAAGAGGAGAGAGTGCAATTCTAAGGATCTCCGTACCTTCCGCGACTTTGGAAAAATTCCGAATAGAAAGATCGAATATATATAACGACCGCAAGAATGATGTTTTTATCTATTGAATAATTTCGATTGGTACTTGTTTAACGACTCGTTTATGTGTTCATTACGTTTACGTTTATAATCGAAAAATCGTGTCTCTCAAAAGTGAAATATCACGGAGGAAATGAATTCACGGAAATGAGAGAGACGTTCGCTATAACGCAAGATAACGTTTTTTACACGGTGTGCGCGCGCCGCGTAAAAATCTTTCGTTCGAATAGCAGAGCTGTGTACTTTGAGTAACAATTTGTCTCTCAGACAATCCTCGTTATCTCTTAGACAAGTTATTACTCGAGAGACCTCATTTTACGTCCTCACATTAGCGAGTTACCAGATTATTAATGTTTCGTCACGTGAACCGCTACATGTGAGATGGTAATTTAAGGTAGTAATTTTATTTACGTGGATTTTAATTAACACATGTATAACAGAGTGCTCGATGTGATCGCGATGATGTATATCAGATTTCGTTATAAAGGATTTAGGAAAAAGAAAAACAGTGGAAAAAAACGCGATCGCGCGCGTTCTTGTTTAATCAGAACTGCTCGTTGATTTCTTTCTAATGTGTCTCACATTCCATTGTATCTGCCGCCTCTTAATTACCTTTAGTTGTGGGCATTAGCTTCTCCGACCTAATGTAGTATAACCGCTCCTTGCTATTACCGTTATTTGTAATGACGCAATATATTTATTACATATTTAACAAGCAAGACGAAGATTATGGGGATAAAGCTTACATTTTATAGATTTCCATAAATGGAATTCTCTTTTCACTACCGACCGTTTTTAGTTAGGCTTCCTTTCTCTGACAATTGCGTCACACATAAAACGTCGTGACTAATATTCTTCTTGTAGAAATCCGACATAGCTTAGTTTTGTACAAGCTTTGATACTCGTACAAATATCATTTTGACTAGGGACAACGGGATACCGTGTATGAAATTTAATGTAATACCTTATGAGTTTTTCAGGCTTAAAAAAAAAAAAACTAGCTTCGAAACCAGACTCGAATTATTTTATACGTTTTTTCACTGATTATGATATAAGTATGTCGCAGTTTTACATGTCGCTTATTTTACACTCATACGCCACACAAGTTGTAACGTCGTACAACATTTTACTTCCTACTCGCGTAGACGACGCGTGTACGCTGTTCTTTTTTTTATACAAAATGTATTTGACTTCTGGAGTAAGTATTTGGAAATGATTTTACAGCCGTGAAACCAGCCGTCTTCTTTAATCGTAGAGCTTCGTGTTACAGAGTACTTTCTATAATATACATATATTATGTAACTCGAATGTAGAAGGCTATCGACAGAGATACGTTACAGCTTCTTTACATATAGCATATGATACAACGTAGGATATTCTATTATTTAACATGGTATAGCTAAAATATGGCAGACTTAGAGGATACTACGTTTTAGTTTTCTTGTATAAATTGATATTATATTATCCTTAGATTGTCGTAAGAAAAACTCACATGGTATAAAAACAATGGAAGCATGCAGATATATAGTTCCTCCTTGTTATATATAAAATTGAAGATTTGTTATTAGGCAGTTTTAATTAAGCAATACCCAATGAGGCTTATAAATATAGTATTTAAGTCACACTAGTTATATATAAATATATATATATGGCTTCATATATATATAATATATATAAAGAATGTGATACGTTATATGAGTTGCGTGTTGTGTGCATGACAATGAGAGAAAGAGAGAATTTACGAGAAAGCGCGAGAGTGTTAGAGAGCGAGAGAGAGAGAGAGAGAGAGAGAGAGAAGGAGCGAGGGAGAGTGTGCATCTGCGACGTTTATATTGTGCTGCGCAAGAAAGAACGTGAACTATTCCAAGGTACGCCCTGCTATTACTTACCACCTATTATTCCAAATAATAACAGTATGTTCAAAATGCAACATCAAAAAAAAAAAAAAGGAAATTACAAATATCATGAAATAAAATATTCTGTGCGGAAACATGAGGACGTATCATTATTCCGGACGTTTTTAGTGCTGAGGAAAGGTGAAAGACATCCTAGAGTCGTATCTTTTTTGTGGACCAGATTTGTCATTGGCTCTCACTTGTGTAAAAATTCGATTTGCGATGAGAAAACATCGAAAAAAAAGTAGATTTACGGGAGAAAAAATAAATAAATAAAATGAATAGCTTGGAGTTCACTGTTCTTCGGCACAAGATAACTGTCCTGGCACCTTTCTACTCGCATCCCACGACCGATCTCCTCGTTCCGTCCCCAAATGCGTGTTCCTTGACGTGCGTACGTTCTTGTTATAGGGCATCCAACTTGTTTGCAATTCACTGCAAACATGATCGTTTCTGTTCGCAAGTACAGGTGGCAGTGTATCGAATGCAAATGTTGCTCTATTTGCGGCACCTCGGACAACGATGTAAGTATATACATATATATCTCGCAATCTCTCTTTCGCAGAACTCGTAAAGCAATGACTTTATCACGCCCGGTAATAGAGGCGTGCGCGAACGAACGGCACGATATCAATTTCGATCTTGATCGTGAGAGGATCGTAGAGTCTTTTCTTCGCATTGTCATTTCGCGTCTCGTTTTCTTAAACAATCGCGTCTCGTGTCTCTCATAAGTAATTCTGACGACTTCTTACGTTTATTCATATGGATTAACGCGCTGTCGGACGAGTATTTGTTGGTATTAACGAAAACCCCGGTGAAAATAAATGTAGTAGCATCACGCGCTTTCATACGACCATAGATTCACCTGATATTAACGGTTTGGCGAACTGAAATAGGATCAGTTGCTGTTCTGTGACGACTGTGATCGTGGCTACCACATGTATTGTCTGTCTCCGGCTCTTGCATCACCTCCCGAGGGCTCCTGGTCTTGCCGCCTATGCATAGCCGAATTTCATCACCGTGATTAAGTCCACTTTCATAGATAAGTCACGGAGCTGTATATCCATCGCGCTGTGGTATAGCGGTCATCTTATTAGGAGAATTAGGAGAGTATTCACGGGCTCACCATATGTAGTATTATATACGGCGTGTTGCGCGCAAATTTGTGCGGAGAGGAAGAAAAAAGAAAAACCCAGTAAGGCAACTTCATCGATTACTATTTATTACGAAATTTGCATTGATCCATCGATTCCCCCCTCCCTCCTCCCCCCGTTAAATTATGTTAATGATAACGATAACGATAATAATAATTAGGAGGATACGTTTATATATAGCGTTACTACATTAGATATCTCAGGCACTGGTGATCTCAACGAGATAAAGATGTAAGGAAACACGTATTTATAATTTAACTGAGATAGCTTCTACGAATAGATGTATAAAGACACATCGCAGTCCAACTGTTAGCAAGGTTCCATAAGCGGAACGGACAAAGAGATTACTAATTTTAAAGATAAAGACGGAGTTCGATTTACCGACGACGTTAGATTTTACATTCGTACTGAACAAAGTGTATTTTTTGCTCATTTTAGAAACTGACATATATATATATATATAAATAAATATATATATATATATGATATATACATATACATATATACATATATATACTATATATATATATGATATATTATATACATATATTATATATACTATATATATATATATATATATATATATATATATATATATAT